TTCTCTGCTAACCCCGCACCATCCACATATAATACACCCCACCCAGAGACGGATGGGTACCAATCATCTATACAAAAGGAGATCAAAACCGCTTAACAGAGGAAAATTAAACTCCTGTGCGCTAGAAGCACTTTACAGCTTGCTACGATCTAAGAGGACGCCAGAGAGGAGAGCAAATGCTGCAGCCTAAAGATCTGGTGGTGACCCTGGGGAGCTCGGCTCCTCTCCTCCGCTCTCCTGCATCTCCCCCCACTTCGGCAGAGCAGTTCGCAGATGAACAGGCATGGGTAGAAACAGCCGAGGGTCGACCTCACCGCAGACGGAGGAGACCAGTTTATAAGCAAGCTTCGGAAATGGTGATGGGATGGGAAGCTGGCGTCGCCGGTGGCGTCACCGGTGGCCTTGCGACAGCGCCAACGGAGTCACGATGGCTTCTGTGAGTTGTTCATGTTCTGTAACGAGAAGGGAAGGAATGGGGTTGGGGGTTGCGCTTGGGTTGGACCTCATCCTGGCAGCATCTTCTACGTGCACATCAACAAGGGGACAGGGGGAGTAACAGAAAGCCACGGCACGAGTCACTACAAAAGCATCCATCACAGAGGAGAGTACACTGTCCACCCAAGGAGAGAGGTGGAGGGGACTTGCTGCCCACATCCCTCCACTCAAGCATCACCTGGCTTTAACTACAGAGCAGGAATTTGGCAGACATATCCCTAAAAACGAGGTAACCCTCCCACCCCAGCTGGCCTGAACTTCTGAAGCTGCTCTTTGGTCCGTGCAAGACAAGGTGATGGGGGACTACGCTGTTCATTCAAGGAGCCGAATTAGACATCTCTCTTGTTCCCCTTGAGGTGGGCAGTGTTCCCTCCCTTCCTACCAAGGAGGTCACTGTCCATCCTTGGCACTGCCAAGGAGATGCAGCTCTTGCCAGCCATGTCAAGGAGCCGGCATGGGGACGAGCCACCAGCAGCAGTACGGCAGGAGCACCCACTCCCCCAGTAATGCCCCATGAGGCTTCATGGGCCCTAGAGCCACTTCGGACACAGCCCTGATGCAGGGCAGTGACAAGGGGCACCCACTGGTGTGTAGTGAGGACCACAAAACCAGAGACAAGCAGCTAGACGCAAGCAGGACCAGCCCCAAGGGTGGTGGTGGCTGGAGGAGAGCATCCGCTAAGAGAGGAAAACCAAGGGGAGATAATCACAACAAGGACATTTCCCAATTCACAAAACTACACAAAATGGGGTGGGGAAAAAAGGATTAGGAAACAGCTAGGAAGGTTTCTCAATGTTTGTTTGTTGGGGTTTGTTCGGGGGGTTTTTTTGCCTTTACTACCTAAACCACAAGCACCAGGAATCCCAACCAGGCTACGAGGCAGAGCAGACTGAGCTGTTCTCTCTATTATCTAAGGAGACAGGAGGAGGGTTAGGAAGAGCCACATGCACCACAGCCATTTACCTTGGAAATATTAGTAAAGAGAAAACTTTGAGAAAGTGACAAACGGGTCGTCTTTAAGCATGAAAAGTGAAGGGGAGAAGAAGGGAGGGGATCAGGTCGTTGTTAAAAAGTGCACTTTGGATCACAAACCAAGCAAAAGGAAAAGAAATCATCACACCAGGTAGTCCCTTGACCCCAAACCAGCTCGATCCCACAGCCAGGAGGACTCGGAGGTACACAGCCATGTCCCCAGCCTCTCCAAGTGTTCCCTGGTCTTCCTGGATGGGGGTTAAGACCGCAACAGTGAGGGCTGATGCAACAAAGTGCTCACTGCCCACCAAGTCCCACAGTGCAAATTGGGAAGGAGGTACCTTCCACCTCCCTGACCCCATACAGGTTGTGGTGGGACACAGTGATGGACCAAACGCACGCATGTACGAGACAACAGCCTCCAGGAGGTAACAGCAGCATGAATGCCACCAAGCCTTTGGTTTGGGGTGTCTTCATGGGTCTCTCAAAAGCAGCTGTTAAGTCCCACACTAGTAGGTGGAGGCAGGGTCCCAGCAACTGGGGATTTTAAACTTGCTGCTGCCTGTCTACACCTAGGATGGGTAACCATCACTCCTGCTCCAGCAGAGCTCCTGGTCTAGCAAAATCTGATGCAGCCATCTCCCAAACTCGACATCGTGTTTTCAGTGTCTCAGCCAGCACTGAGGCATGCAGTGTTTTTTATTACAATACGGATGGGAAAAAGGTGGATGGAGGCATGGACAAAGAAATCAAAATGCTCTCAAAGCAACCCAAGAAGACCAGGCACTTCATCGGGGGGCTTTTGTGCCCATGAGCAGCAAGGGAAGGTGCATAGGCGTGCAGGCCATGCTGAGCAACTCAACCTCTAAATTCGCCCAGGAGTGCGAGCGTGATCTTCCCCAACCCATGCACAAGCAAAGCCCAAGTGTGACCTTCCCAAATTCTCTTTTCTCAAAAATGTTTACTCTCAAAGGGGAAGAAACCTGAGGTTCATCAGCTGTTACGTGCAAGCAGGGCTGAGTTCTGGCCTGGCCATGTTATAGCAGATCCCTCCACCTTAAGCCCACAAAACAAACCAGGACAGGGATGCTCATAGGCTAATTCAAAGTGGTCCATAGAGGGCAAAAAGACCCCTGGCCACTACCCCAGCCTCAGTTCAGCCCCAAAATCTCCCTGGTCTTTGAGAAGACATTTGAGTACAGCTCAATGACTGCTCCTCTCAACTGAATGATGTGGCATGAATTAAGCCCAAAGGCTTCAAAGTTATCCAGAAGCAGTCCTGTCGCTGTTACACAAGGATCTAACACCACTAAGCTAAACTGTCAAAGCCTTGATTATTCATAATTAGCACATTAAACGCTCAAGGCATCTTGCTTTCTTAATAGAGGTAAAGGAGGACTATATTCTTGCATCTACTCTGCCCAAGACATCTAGGCAGACTGTTTCAAAAGTCCAGGCTTGCAGAACTGCAGATGTCAAGACCCAGGATCAGTCCAGCTCCAGAAAACACGTTCATGCTCCCACGCAGGCAGTAAAACCCTGTTGGGGGTTGAGGTCAGAACCACCTCAAATACCTCTCTGATGCCATCACTCAGACACAACTTGGAGCCCTCGGGAAGGACAGACCAACTGGGTCTCTACCACCTACAGTACAATGTGCTATCGCAGAGGAGAGAACTCCAGGAAAACCCGATAGCATCTCCCATCCCGTGACTGTCCAAGGAGGAGGCAGGGAAATTAGACATCATCAACAGAGGGCAAGTGATAATTTACTCCATTTCTCAACAAACTGGGACATTTAATCAAGCCAGGATACTTAGAGGTTGGTCAAAGCAGCATCCATAGTCTCCTCTTTACCTTTCCTATGATATGTGAAACCCACACACACAGAGAAATATGAACTCCAAGAAATCAACCCCCCGGCTGGGTTTCACAGCAACAACAAAACAACCGGTGGGATGGCAAGAGACATGGTAAGAGGGTAAAAGGGGAAGTAAGACGCAAGAAGGTACTTACAGGCATGCCTTCCCTAGTAAAGGCTGCAGAGAGACAGAGAGAACGGAGAGAGAGGTGTCAGTAACACCGCGCAAGACCGGGTAGAGGACACCTGACAGCAGCGAGGGGCACCTGAACAACGAGAGCTTCCAAACCCAAAGACTGCAAAGGGTTTGTTGCAAGACTCAACCAGCCCAAGCGGATTCCCAAAAGCCAAGAGACAGAGTTGCCCCACTCGCTGCTTGCTGGGGTAGGAAGGCTCATGCGAAGCGGTGACCAAGCAGAGCATTTGGAGGAGCACGGCACCCTTCCTAACCTGCCCGGGATCTGACCGAGGAGGGGCAAGAGGACACCAGACAACACAGACAACACAAAGAAGGGCTGGAAGGGGAGTGAGATCCAACAGGCAGCTGGTGGGAAGGGCAGCATGGCGAAGGGGATCTTATATATACAGAGAGATATATATACACACACACACATACACTGCTTCTTGCCACCCCAGCTCCTTAACAAGCACAGGGAGGGAGGTTTTGTTCCTGAAGAAGTCTGCAGCAAGCAAGGTCTCTCTTTTTCCATCCTTTCATGGGTGGGTGAAAGAGGAGAGGATACATGAGCATCACGGCAGGGG